ATGGGGGCTTGCAAAAAGTATTCAAGGAAACGAGAGAACGGAACCAAGATAGGAGACCTACCCTAGATTCAAGCTTGTCAGTCAACGACGATACATATTCAGAAGTGGAAAATTCACAGCAGAACGACTTGCTGACATTCAGAGAAATGTGAAGTATGTTCTTCGATCGAACTACCCACATGAATATGTAGAACTTGGGTGACAAAACGATGGTCCTGTTGAAGGTTCATCTCTTTCCAATTTCCATATGTCAATGGTGAAAATTCATCAGGCAATAAATTACACGATAAGGATATGATGCGAAATCAAGATAGAAAGAGTTCGTCACTTCCATTCGAATCTCGTGCACCGTTGAGAATACACGAAAATGCCAAAGCTAAGAAACTTATAGAGACAGCGAACTCTGTCTAAAATCAAGTGATAGACTCCAGGAAGAGATCGAGATATTACTGAAAACAATCACACTGTGTAAGTCACTGGATATGTGATATCTCAGATAATTTTGGGGCTAGCCAAGAACACCGACGGCCGACAAAAGAGTAAACCATCCTGTACCACCTAGGACGAAAAGATGTATGAAACGGATAGCCGACTCCCGGTATGAAATATCACTCTTAGGCGAAGCATCTTCTAAATCAATGCACACCTCTAAAGTGGAACGAAAAATATTCAATGTTGAACAAAAATACCAGATTAAAAATGACACAAGAAGGTCAGTGGAAGCTGAGACGCTAAAAGAGAAATTCCATGCATGGGCTCAATGAATTAGTCGTTACAAACGTAGAATAGATTTCCGTGTGCAGAATCGGTTGTTTGAAACAGACGCGAAGAGATTATATCGCAGTCTGACTAAAAAACTGAATAGCAATGCTGTCACACCTTCCATAGCAGATTCTACAACAAAGACGCATCTTGACTGTGAATGTGAAGTTGATACTGGCGATGAACTTGTGAAAAAAGTGGAACATGTTCACGAATTCATAAAATAGGACCTCTTAAAAGCATTTAAAACCATGGGAGTCAGGAAATCGCCCGGGATTGATACGATCCAGAATTACCAGCAATACATTACCATCTAGCAAAGACTTAATGAAATTTCCCAAACACAAAGGAACTCCCGAAATGGCTCACATGCGGCATCATGTATTTGCTACCCAAAGCAGGAGACAGCTCTTTGGCGAAGAACTAGAGACCAATGAACTGTCTGCCAGTACTGTACAAAGTTATAACAGCAGATAGGAACTTAGATAGGAACCATCTGTTGCGGATATTGATTGCTGTCAATTTTATTCCCTTTTTTCGGTTCCAGGGCCCGGTAAAATTTTACTCAAACATTCACCGTTCTCCGGAGCACGATTACAATACGGCGCACATACAATCACATCTTACAAAGTCGCGAGAAACAAAAATTAATATTGAGATAAGGAATATTGCGAAAGCATTAACAGATGATCTCCACTCGGAACACCAAAACGAACCGCATGCTTGCTTGCCTCGCTTCTACCGCTTCCATGCCTTCGTTCCCGCCTATGCGCTAGCGGTGTCGTAGGTGACGCCGTGGTAATGGGGAGGGGAAGGGGACATTATATTTTGCCAAATTTCACTTCACGACGCACCAATTCATCCTATATGGACAATTGATACGATATTGGATTCAAGAAGTATGTCGTCATCGCACAATAAGCACTCATTTGTTTTTAAAATTCCTTTCTGGAACAATGAAAAGCAACTTGAAAAACGTTTTGAAAATTAAAACACGTATTCTGGGGAAACACCATCCCGTAGCTCCCAGAGACTTTCGATGGCAGAATAAAGAGCGAATGATAATCAAATGCAATCGATGTAATTCCTGCAAGCACAGTGCTTGGAATATTACCTACTCTATTTACTTACGAATCTGTAGTTTCTGTCAAATCGGACTTACTAAAGAATGGGAACATGCCATTCAATTCTGATTTTATAATTTAATAAACAAGAAATAGGAATCATTCATTAGGTGTCAAATCCAAAGCTCACTATAAGCAATGTTACATATAGTATACCAGCCGTGTTCTCACGAAATAAAGTAACTATTTTAACTTGTCACGAAACTTTCAAGTAACTATTGGTACTAAAACAGCACGTCCTTTCTCGCCCGTGTTTCCATACGATCTTAAGCGAAAAGTACTAAAATTTTCGAAAATTTGTTCCTAACCTTATTTTAAAATCCATCTTTATGGAAAAGATTTCATTACAGGAAAAATCTCTGTCTTTAATATTTTGGTTGTAGGAACACTCCTAAAAAATTCTGAACTTTTGAAACTTAAAAAAAAAAAAGGTTATCAACGAACATGAGACCTGTACCATTCTCTTAAACGTCCTTCACAGACATAAAAAAATTAAAAAAGCAATTTGTTTTCAAAATAATTTTCAAAAAAATCAAATTATTTGAAAATGTCCCAAGCTTCATATAAAATACCCCCCAAAATTTAAAATATCGATTTCAAATTCTAGCGGCCACGACATTAGCCAGTTCTATTTGAGAATATCAATTTTGGAGAAAATGGGCTCAACGGTTTAGTCGCAAGTGTTGTTGATAGGCACACGACCGACGTTTTGCCGTCATTCGATTTTTCAGTATCAAGGACCCAAGAAACATGGATTCTAGCGACACGTGGGAGATTCACGTGTTAACGGATATTTTTTTCTAAATTTAGCAACGGGATTTATCCAGGTTTTCGTTGCCAGGGCCCTGTAATAAGTTTTCTTCTTAAAATTTGACGTAGTTTCGGGCAGCATTACATAACCTTCACTCTACTCCGTAAAAATATTTTCGGACTATCATTTAAATCAGGAGTCGCCAACCTTGTAAACGACAGAGCTGCCTTACAGCTCATGAACCTTGCCGTGAACTACCCATCAAAGTAGGAAAATAATACAGGATTTGTTTAAATAACACATTGTTTATTGCCCATAAATAAACGTTTCTAGTTTACATTAAATGCAATTCCTAACAGCAACTAATAGCATAAGAATTTAAATAAACCATTTGTATTAGGAAAACAGTTCAATGCGCTCGCATGGTGGGATGAATAGTGCAGAGTAGCCAACCCAAACGCTGAGTCTGAAATATCCCCCAAAATGTCCCTGCGAGCTACGGTTTGGCGACGTCTCATTTAAACGAATAAAATCGTATCGCAGCATGAGCTGAGTTAAGCCTGAGTCATTCCACATAATCTATAATATAACACATTTGACCAAATATCTTAATTTACCGATCACGTTCGACTCACAGCCGGGCTTTCGTATAGTATGAGTATCCCTTGAATGGAGAAATGTAATAACGAAGGGGGGAGTTTGATGACCTAAAACATCGCCAAAAATAATCAATAAAATACTCTTAAAATATTACTAAAAAGTTCTAAAAGCAAAGAAAACTCACGTAAACATATTTACAACAAATTCAGATTTGTAACTCAAGCTGTTGGATATATTACTGACGTAATAGTAGGGGCGAATCGAGGGGGCCCGTGCCCCGCCCAAGGGGTCTAAAGAAAAAATTAAAATGACACAAGAAAAAACACACGAAAAAATTGTAGAAATGTGTAACATGTATCGAAAAAAACACGCGCGTTCTATCCATAGCCTTTAAGTTACGAACGGGAATCCTGATTCTCGCTGTATCCCCAGTCCTGTCTCGTCCAGAGGTACGTATGGAAAATGTCTTCGACTGTTCTCCAAGAGCGTCTGAGAGCATATATTTCTTATTACGCTTGACAAGCGGTGCTATGGCAACTTCCACGTATTGGAGTGAGGCCGACGCAAGAGGAAACCGTGTTGACGGAGTCTCTCTAGGTGGCAAGCGGGTGATCGTTGCCCGCTGTGACATTACGCGCAATTACAGTGTGTTCGAAACGATAGAATATGGCATGGAACGCTTACATGAGCCTGGAGACGGCGCAGTTAATAAGTACTTAAGAGGAGAAATAAAATATTTAAAAATAAATAAGAAGAAAAGAGAAAGAAATCTAATGCAAAGAAAAAAACTAGAAAGGACTTCAAACACATTTTGTTAAATCCTGCCGGCTTTCCTCAGTTCTGGATAGTAAAGTTTGTACGTAAGCGAATGTTTAATTTGTAAATCGAAATCATGCGTTTTTATTTAAATTATATCCGCTCCTGAAGTTACACTTACAACTCATTGCCAGATCACATTAACAATTAAAATCGATACACAAGTGTAAGTGCAAAATAAAATTATGTTACCTGCATAAGTGCCTCTGTACATTTAGATGCAACACAGAATCAAACACGAGAATAATGATGTTTAATGAATTGCTACAGCATAATATTAAAATTACGAAATATACCTGTAACAAAAAATGTACTTGATCTTCTGGGCGAATGAGCCTCATCTCTATCACACTTTTCATTGTAGCCCTGAGCCATCTAGCAAATGCAGAGAAGGTCCCTTGTTATGCTCCTGGACATTAACGTAGCCTCACTGCGCACTTTTTGTTGAGCTCTCCTTTTGCTCGAAGTGGTAGGAGTTCAGTCAAGGGTGTTGGATGAATTTTGTTAGCAGTAGTAAAACATCAAATCTCTAATAAGTTCACCGATGGAAGTAAGTTTTTTAGAACTCGGGACTGAACATTTCCGGTTTCTGAAATTATATTAACCTCACATTGTTGGTATTTTTATTCATGTTCCAAGTACGTATAGTAAAAGGATTATGAAGCTCAAGAAAACGCGCGCAAATTATATTCCCCCATACGTCACAAGGTTTTCACTTTTGTTTGACAAAAATACGTCAAATCGATCGATATTGCTTACAATCACACATGGTAAGCATTTTTCTGGTTATTATACTTATGAAAAAACCAACAAAAGAAAAATAAAGCTTTTGGAATAAAATTCGTTTAGTGAAGAAAACTGTTAATACTAACATCAGGAAATGGGATATTAGGAGAAAACACGGTAGTAAATGAGTTTCCTTAAGAACTGAACTAAATGCACCTCACCTGGCCTTCGCCTCTTTACCATCAGGCAGAAACAACCGAAGAGTGGCAACAATGCATCCATGAGTTACTGAAACACAGTCATTAAACATATAAATCAAGAGACACTTCTGAAAAATAACAACTACTTTATTAAATATATGTGCGCATGCAGTTTACAACTGTTCTATTCACTTCCGGGGTATTTTTAGAGCCTAAACAGTTTCCCTTGGAAGATCTCACTAATATTTCCGTGCCACTAACGAAATTCGTTATGCTCACAAGAAATCGAGGGTAACCATAACGTCAGAATGCGGTTCAAACAGCAACTGAAGGTACAACGAAGTTTTGTATAAAATAGGCTGAAAGGAAGACATTCTTGTAATAAAATTGCAAATCTGCAACGTAGTAAGATAACATTATTAAATAAAAATGTCATTCGGTTCTCGCAAAAATGACATAAGTATAGTTTACATATTCGCCAGTCAAAGATGCAAGACATCCTCCGAAAAAACATGAATAAAAAAAAAAACAAACAGTGCAACCACTGGCAGCCTAACCAACACCACCTAGAATGTAGTATGTCTAGGTGGTGTTGATCTAACATGCACTCAGCCCGTTCCTTGAGTCATGCCGCCGCACGCTCTGCTAGTAGGACCCCCCTCTCTACTTCCGAAAAATGAGGGAAAGTAGCCGTCTCACCCAAAAAATACATGCAACCGAATAAATCAGTACAGCAAAATTCTCCAAATTAAACAAGTTCCGCCTATTTGAAGCGAAAATGTACAATTTTTACTTCCAAAACTAATACCTGAAACGCAAATTTGACATCGTGATAGCCCTACAATTTGTAAATAACGGTTCTACAACGCACACACTTTCTGGCACTATTGGCAATAGTTACATAATATTGAATTACTGGTGCTAAAACAGTCCGTACTTTTTCGCCATTAGTAACTGTCATGTACTACTATTTATACCACAATTTCTCTCCGAAATCATTTTTGTAAAAGTCATTTCAAATTGTACAACAAATGGCGTGGAAAATAAGCACAATGCAAGAAAGTAAAATACAGAGCGTTCAAAGAGTCTCTTCGCAGTGACTATCTTCATACTCCACCATTCTTTATACGGAAATGGCAACAATGCGCACTTAATCAGCAAGATGGCCTTCGACTCTTGTTCTCAGAAGCGGGCTCGCTGTAAGGAAGCAGTAGTTCAATTAAAAATAAGTAATTGCATCTTTGTATCCGATTGACACATTCAGTTTTACTACGTACAAGTTATTTGTTGCGAGTCAGATAATAGCTGTTATAATGCTGACCATGAAAGAACGTGTATATTTGGTTAAAAATGTTTCGAGCAAATAAGTTCACGGATGATTGGTTTCACGCAGAATTTCGAAAGGGCTATGGCCGCCGAGATCACCATATCTCACACCTGATTTATTTTCCTGGGGAGCGGCTAAAGAAAATGTCTAAAACACTCGTCCCAAGACCATTGAGAAATTGAAAGACTCAACATGTTTGTATGAAATGTCCATATCTCACGAAACTTTAAAAAAAAAGTTTTCGTTAATAATTGTAAAAGGGTAACGTTTTACCTTCAAAATTCAGGCAAACATTTTCAACACATGATGTAATAAATAATAATGGAAAGTAAATATACTGTTTATTTCAAATGATTTTTACTTTTCAGTATTTCTTTTCTTCCCCCACTGCATTTCATGTTTCATTGCACGCTCCTTTTTTGCTGTTGCGTAACGGACCAGGGCGAAGGCGCCGTCCCTTTTCAAACCTCGATATTGCCATTTCCGCATAAAGGATGGTGAAGTGGGGAGACAGCCCCAGCTGAAAGGCTTTTTGACCGTTCTGTATCTAAACGTCAACCATAATACGATACTTATAGCGTTGGAAAACAAATCGAACAATACATGATAGTAATTATTAAACACTATGGTATTACAATATTCTACAAATACATAAAAGTATTCGTTTTTATTACCGCAAAATAAAAATTGCCGTCAATATCGCCTTTTGTTATGGCCGATCTGGGATCAGCAGAACGCGAAGTCCTCCGCGACACACACACTGGGGTTTGGAAAAATTGCAACACCCAGAAGGAATTGTCGTAACCATGCTTCTGATGTAGCATGGTCAATTCTTGTTGTCCAATTCTTAAACTTTTTCGGTAGTAACTGATGTTTAATTAAACACTTCAGCTTTTTTATTCTGTGCGATGATTGTTTTTACCCTTTCGTCGCCTATTCCTACTTCGTTCCCCCATAGTAATTTTTTTAAATAAAACAAAATAGAAGCAAGACACTTTCTTTTTACACAACCAGTCAATCACTGCTTTGTACCACACCTGCTTTTTAGGCGGGGAAGGGTATTTTTCCTCCATCTGCCTTTTTTAAAGTAAGATTTGGAGTAAGTCTTTTATTTTGAACTTCTAGAAGACAGCTTACATGAAAGAAGTCGGCGCCAAAATATTTGCGAGATTGTTATATTGCGATATAACGATATTTCCTTCACTAAATAGTAACTTGTATTGCTAAGCTACGGCTGAGGTAATGCTAATTTGCGCCAAACACAAAGAAGTAATTAATTTCACACCTATCAGGACGAAACACAAAAATCTTCGATTTCTAGAACTGCCTCATACCACATATTTAGTAAAATCTATTAAGATTCAGTGCGATCTACGAATACTAAGTAAGAGCTTATCTTAGATCTCTCTACTTGTAAACAAGTTTCTGCGGCAAACTATTGTAGTGGAAAGTCACGGTAACCAGAACGGAATGCCACTTTAGTCGGCGGCCAATGATTTTCGGGTCAGGACACTTTGCTTAATGATGTTGAAGAAATACTTATTTTACTGTCATGAAAAACTTAATTTTAAGAACTGATGCGTCGACAACCTTTTTAGTATATGTTATTATAAATTAATTTATTTCGCACTCTATTGTTCATTTCACTCACACGAGTCGCTTAAACATATTTACATTTTTATAATAAATAAGATAACCACAAATCATTACATTCATTTATAATCAAATTCCAAGAATGAATATTCACACCATCTATTAATTTATTGCTCCATGAAACGGCACCGTCAGTTTATTGCACTTCTTGCTGTTTTGCCGTGTTGGTGTTGGAACTTGGGCCCGCCACAGGCCACAAACGAACTCTAGGATTCCCGAAAGCACATCTGCGGCTCGCTGTAGCCGACTGCAGTAACAGCATTTCTGCGTCTCGCGAGTACACGTACTGCGCATGCGTTGAAGGCTCTGAACGTCAGAGTGTTCCTCCTAAGACGGATAAGTTCGTAATTAAGAGGGAAGATTAACACACAAAACCTACGTGAATCGTGGTAATGGTGAATTGAAAATTTCTTACTCTTCTCAATGAACTGTTTTTGTTTTTCATTAAATGTTTGTGCAGGCCCCGCCTTGCAGCCTAATAGGTAGCTACGCCACTGGTCATGTCTACGGCGATAGTTCGACGTCGTCTGCTGAGGGCTGGAACTGGTGGCACGCATACCACTGTGTCAGATTCCGTTGACCAGCAACCACCAACGCCTCAGAAAGCAATATGCACGTGAACGTGTTCACAGGTGTACTGAACGCCAAACTGAAATGTTTTCGGGCGAGTCCCCCTTCAATTTGTGCTACAGCGAAGGCCGCGTATGTGTTCGACGCTACTGTGATGATCGCAATATGCCAATTTGGATTGTTTCGCACCATAGCGGACAAATGCCAAGTATGGTTTGGGTGCCATTGGCTACAATGTATGATCTCGCCTCGTACGTATTAAGGGCAATCCGAACAGCAACCCCGATATCAGGGAGGTTTAAGACCCCAAGGTACTGCCCCTCCTGCAAGTAGCTCCACATGAAATATTGCACAATTCCAATGCCCGACCGCATGTGGCGAGGAATGAGCAAGAATTCTGCGAAGAGGAACAGGTACCACTGCTTCCCTGGCCTGAACGTTCGCCTGACATGTCGCCCATCGAATTTGGCTGGGATATAATTGGTCGGCAACTTGTTCGTTCTGGTCCTCCTGCAGCCACTGTCGATGCTAGTCACGCATAGAAACCGCGTGTACATGTGTTCCCCCAGCAGCATATCCAGTCTCTCTTTGAATCCATGCCACTACGTCTAAAGGCTCTGATGGTACGGCGTGGCGGCTTCACAACGTACTAATTATTGAAGGTCAAATTGCAGGTACAGTTCTGTAATTCAAATCATTTGAATATTGTGATATTCCTAGTCAGTGGAATAAATTTCATTGTAATAGTATGTCTCCTCCATGGTGTTGCAATTTTCACAAACACCAGTGTACATGAAAGACAAGGAACAAACAACCACGCCCAAGGCGAGACTTGAACCTGCGACCCTTGGGACCGAAGTGCTGAGTCGGTACACGCTCACTATCTCGGCCATCCAGGATGGCATCAACAGATTTCATTCAAAACAACAAAAATCCATAGTTTTAGGTAGACGGCAAAAAAAAATTTAAAAAAATGCAATTTTCGAAAGATTGGAATTTGGAGTGGAATCCTGTTTACGATTTAGCAGCTAGCGTTGTTCACAGACGGACGGACACACAGACAGATGATTTGCCGTCAATCGATTTTTCGGTATCAAGGGCCCACAGAACAGGAATACTGATAAGAATTAATATACTAATCATAGAGACAAGATTTAGCAACTTTTTCGTCACCACGTTTTTCTGTCGAAAATTCACGACTTTCCCCGCAGCATTACAGTGAGAAAATAAAAATGAGACAAAAATAAAGAGATAGCTGAAATATATTTACATGAAATTGTCGATTTATTGCAAACAAAAAATTTTCACTTCAATGCGATTTGTTTAAAAGATTCATATATTATAAATTTGTGTGAAACACACAGAACATAGAATAAAAACTGTGAAGTTGAACAAATCATACAAACCAACACAAAACAGTTATTTATATCAGCTTAAACACAAACATCTATAAAACATAACTTCTCCGACAATATTTAAACATTGATATTATATATTTGTTATTCTACTTCTTTTTATAAGAGTATATTTTAAAATTT